AGTAAAATGAGGGACAATAGAAATCGGATGTCGACGATTTATTTAAAACAAAAAAAAACAAAACAAAAAAAAAAAAAAAAAAAAATTTTTTTTTTTTTACCTTTTTGACATGTTCAATATAACAATATTTAGTCGAACCAAAAGGATTCATCTGATCTCTATCTAAACAAAAGAAGTAGGAGATAACTTTGTAATCCATTTTTGCAAATTTTCCAAATTTCAATCAATTGATTTTTTTTATTGATAAAAAGGACAATCGCTTTTTTGGTCTAGTGGGAATTTGGTCACGAGAATGTTGAATTATACAAATTCAATAATGTCAGTAATATTGTAGGCGGGTACGACCTGTCATTCGTGTATGCTTTAGGTCTCCAATTAACGCTAGTTCGGTAACGTCGATCTTCACGTGATTTAACAGGCGATATTTTTCACGTGATATTTACGGCATGCGGAATTTTTCGTTTTTTCGAAAGGCATGTTCATACAATACTGTATGTATGCACTGTACTGTATGTCGAAGAATCTTTAAAATACAGTACACCACTTGTTTGCACACATCGCATCTTTGAACGCAAAATCAACTTTTCTTTGACGAGTAAATTTAAGTCGCCTAAGGTGAATTCTGTAATCAATTCAATTCCTTCAAGAAGCTGCAGAGCACATACAGTAAGTAATAACAGTAATTTCGGATTACGTGTGATCTTTTCTTTGTCACTTGGATCGCGTTAAAATCATAGTGCCTCTTTTTAATTTGTGGGATGGTTTAGGTAAGCTTATCACATTCATCAAGGAATACAGTATAATCGTAGGCAGATGGCAAGTGAGAACACACATTCTCGCATATCAACAACGAAAATTCATTTCACTTTTTACACATACATAGATAGAAATCAGAATAACGATGCACTTTGCATAAAAAGAATCTGGCGTCCCTAGTACTATATTCGTTTCAAAGATTAATTGTTCGCGCATGTTTCATCTTACATTGTTTGACATGACATTCGACCAATTATTTCTGCATGCATTTGGGTAAGGATTGCCGGAAAAAACGGCACACTGTATTTAACTACTAAAAGGACGAACGAACGAACGATGTGCGATGTCTTTTTCTAAGTTTAAGATTATTGTCGATTCTTGGTGTGAGACGTTTCTCTTCCAACCCAAGAATGCAATTTCATATAAGTATGACTCGGGGCGAAGTGTCCGTAGAGAAAAGAGGATATCGCGTCAGAAGTGGGATAACATTATTTCATTATTACTATTGGGGGATTTTTTTTTTTTTTTTTTTTTTTTTTTCTTGAAGGCATTCTCATGCGATGACATTTAACCCTGGTTTTACTGGTGCATACCATTAGCGCAACATACTACTGGCACACATATTTCTGCATGTCATGTTACTTGCACATAAGTATGCTACTAAGTACATCTGACACTGTCACAACATTCACCGACTCCAATTGACAGATGAAATCTGAAAGAAATTTTAAGAGTTTAAAGAATGAAGGCATCAATCCGATTCTCGACGCAACAGGATATTCACAATGGGCATACTTTAATTATGCCCTTCGTGAAGACGAAATCAAATCAACCATTTCCGAATTCTAATTCGCAGAAACGAAAAAAAAAAAAAAAGATTTGCACAGATTCCAATTCCATAAAGATAATCGTTTTGTACGATACCTCGAAGATGCAGTTCATTGTTTGTTTATTAGACGAATCTTAAAAACGGAAGGTTTTACAATGTACTGTAAACAACACCTGCCCATTCATTCCCTAGCTGTTTATGTGTCAGCTGAACTGTTCTTTTATCTTGCATAGCAAAGAACCTACAGCCCTGTTTCTTTTTTCGCCATTTCCTCAGTAACAAAATGTCAGCGCAAAGATTACTCATAATCTTATGATGTGCCGGTGCCATCATTTTCGACCGGGGTCCGAACAAAGGTGAATCTGAATCAGAGGAATTTCCAATCGTCAAACGAAATCGGAAATGAACGGCCGATAACCACATAAAATTTCGCCGCAAATGCCCTGTATAGGAACCAATGTAAACAAATCTGATTCAAAAAAGGGCAAAGCAAATCGAATCATTTTTTTCCTTCTCATTCGTCCACTCCGCGGATGTTCACGACTCGAACCACAGCTGAAAAATTTATTCTGACTAATTACAATAATTGTATTAGGGAGAAAGGCTTCCTCCAACGTAAGTGCTTACGTACACAATCTATATTTGTAGAATTGGAATTCCACGTTTTTTGTCTCCGCGATGGTTCCAGAATGCTGCCTTATCTGGTGTTTTTCAAATTTTGAGCGGACAAAAATAATAATAATGAACATAATAATTTGCATAAATGAGTAAAGTTTCTTTTAAGTACTTACTGTATATACGACGTTGGTATCTACCAGTCGTAATGGAAAGAAGCTTGCATCTAGTCGTGGCGCAATACATAAGTTATGCAATAACCCCACATCACTTGCATTACTCATCTGCCATTTTGCTACAGGATTTTGGATTACGCGGTGTTATTAAGTATTCCGACGACAAAATGTATTCCGAAAGTAGAAAAAAATTTTCCTACTGCATGTATTTCGGGCATCACGCTGTACGTGTCTCCTCCTGCAATCCTGTAGATGCCGGGAAGACTATATAGATATGCTTACAGCCTGGTTCGACACACGTAAGTCGTTCACAACATATACTCGGACTCGCCGTCCACATTTTAATAGCCACAAAAATGTCAGACAACCCTCCATAAAGAAAGGTATCGAAGGAGATACAGTAATTGAAAATAATGGTAAAAAAAGGTCTGATTGAATATTTCCAAATCAAGTCGTACTTCCACGTACGGTGAGATTCGGAGGGTCGAAGGTTAAGCGACTAATTGAGGGGAGCCGTGACCATGCAATTCCAAAATTATCGCGGACACCAATTTTGGCAGAGAATAAAAACGAAATATTGCGGATGGTGGAAGGGTGCAAAAAAATGATTGTTAAAGGAGGCGAATAAGGATCGTTCGTATCAGGATTTCTTGCATGACCTGACAAACAAAACCACCAGCAAAGGAGTATATGCTGACACAAGAAATATACTTTTTATTCAAAATTTTAAAAGAAAGAGAATCACCATCCAAATTTTTCGTGCAGTCTGATATTTCCCGAAATGTCATTTAATGCGAGGATGAATTGGGTATTCGGTCATCTTGACGAAGCCATTTCAATCCAGGCTCATGCACTCCGATTTATTTATTTATCTCTGGGAGAGAGACATCTTTTTCGCCGCCCAGGAAATTTACGTTCACAACGCTTTCATCATTCTGCGAACCCCCTGACAGCAGCCAGCTTATTCATGCGGAAGGGCCTGCAGATTTTGCAATTCCAGGCCCTACATGAGAATAGCACCGAGGACGATTGTGACAAGCTTCACCGATCGCTTTCCGATCACGGCCTTTGTGCTTAACGCATTTTCCTGGGCGGAGAAATGATGAGCTTACACCAACGATTCTTTCTCTTTATAGGAGATTACCGATACCATGCTGGCCATCAGCAATCTCTTAATCGGTCTTCGACAGCAAAACGGTTTGTCTTATTTATTATTTCGGTTATCCGATTATTTTTACTCTCAATCAAGGTAGATCGTTTTGTTCTTGTCATTATGATGATGTTGTTTCGACCAAAAAAAATAATTTTTTTTTATGACAATGGCAGGTTGTCACTTACCTATCTCAGTTTATCTGATGCATCAATCAATATACAGTATAATATGCAGCCTCGACGGAGTTCATATTTACCTTAGCGACGTTTCTTATTGTGCGTTAAGGTGCTGGTGTACATTAAAATAATTACAGTATTTGTACAATAAAGGCCTTCTATGTGCTATATGCATACTGATCTTTGCACACTGATTAAGTATCATATACAACGAACTATACTAGCAGTTGAAATGTATTTAATTTATAATTAGGTGTAACTAGAGAGCCAGAAAAGTTGATTTTAGATTACTGCAAACAAAAAAAAAAAAAAAAAAAAAAAGCATTTTTATAATTGCGTGTAACTATAAAGAACCCGCAAGCTGGCTCCCCGCTATCGTAAAAATCTCTTTCTTTCTTCCCTTCTTTCTCCAAGGACGGCATCTTTTGTCTTTTGCACAGCATACGCACTTCCTATCGTGACCTTGTGCATCGATAATTACCGAGATTACCATCATCTTTTTTTCTTTTTCTGCTTAGGATAAAAAAAAAACAAAAGCCTCAGAAATTAAATTTCACAATTATCTACTCGAAAAGATATTTAAACCCTAGATTCGATCATGACTTGCTAAATTCCGTGAAGAAGGGATAATCGCCGTGTATATATATATATATATACGTATGCATTATATATACGTACATATTTTTAGAAAAAGAGAGAGATTTTCTTTTAATTCCTTATTCCTCGCAGCACATTTCTTACACTGATTAAACATTCCTCCTCCTCTCTTTCGAAATCATTAATCGTATGATTATCAAGGGAGAAGGAATCTCCTCATCATTTTTTCTTCGTTCATACACCGCCCTCATGCGAATCAATTAATCGAATCCGTAAGTTCATCCCGGGTTCATTTATAATCCCTAATTAACTTAATAAACGAACACGCGCGACTTCCCTCCCTCGATTACCTTCTTTCCCTCCGCTACCACCCAAGTTACCATAGAAAGGCTCATTCTTTTTTTTTTTTCCTCTGGGCTGAGCCGAGCCGAGTCTATCATTATCAAGCTTGAACAAAAAAAAAAAAAAAAAAGGGTCAAAATCGTAATCTTTTTTTGAAGAGAGGCATTGAAATCAACTGTAACCTGCAATAACCGGAATCCAAGCCACAAATTTCGCGAACTGACATGCCTTGCAGTATAATGCGTAACGATGATGATGCCTTAATGTGTGAGTGGTTATTATTTATTTTTTATCATTCTCCGATAGTCTGACGCCAATTGGGTAGTTTGTTTTCACAAGTGCAGCGTCGTGTGACCATGTATTTTACAGTTCCTAATCACACGCGTCATTTGATAGCATTCACTGCAGATTCATGTGATTCGGTGCTCCAATGTTCGCAGCGGTCAAACGCCTCCCTGCCTGACCTTCTTCACTTCGTCAAGGACATCACCGAGAGGTCAAAAGTTACCGATATCACCATGGTGGTTGGATTAATCTATGTCCACAGGCTGAAGAAGACGTTGCCTCCCGAAGCACGTGGCGATTCCGACACTCCATACAAAATCTTTCTATCTTCCATCCTGGTAGCGAGCAAATACTTGAGCGATCACTCGTTGCAAAATAAAACTATAGCGGACATCACCAATGGCCTTTACACGATCAAGGACGTGAATACCATGGAGCGAAGTTTTCTGGGATTATTGAAATACGATCTTTGGGTGGATTACAATGAGATAAAGAAGTTCGCTGACGAACATCAGAACCTGGCTGTCAACGTTAACGGCGAAGAAGATGATTAGAATTTCGAAACGTGTTTCCCCAGCACTCGACATGTTCCTCGCACCCCCGTTGTTACATAATACAACGCCGTCGGTTTTACCTCGCTTTCGCCTTATTACTTTTTTCTTTCGCTTTCATCGATCCTTCTTTGTTTCTTCCACCTTCCAAATTTTCAATAATTCCTCTCAGATGACTTTCTTAAATATAATTCTACGAACATTTCAACCACCATTCTCACACTTTCTCCTTATTATCAATAAATTTTGTGCACAAATTTAATGTAAATTTTTCTCAACTTCACAAAACCACATCCATCTCCGCTGTTCTTCATACATATAGACGTCTTAAGACAAATAGAGTTTTAAAAAACATAAATCTACGGAAAGCGACGAAAAGGTTTATATGTATTTCGCGCCAACCGCGATCTTAAAAGAAATCCTATTCCACCAATTGTACATAGCATTTTGAAAAAATAGACCCCCTTTCCTTTACCTTTATAAATTTATGAATTCTACCTCTCCGATCGCGACGCAAGCTAAAAAAGAACCATCGAAACTCTCATATTTTCGCACGAAGTTATCCATTTGCCTGTGAAGAACTTTGGTTTGTTTATAGTCAATTTCCGATTACGCTCACCCTTAATATACACACGCGCCGCTCAATTTACAGATATAACGGAAGAATATGTTGCACGTGTAGCATAAGCAAAAAATTGAAATATTAAATCTTACTATACAACACACAGTCTTCCTTTACACAACTTTTTGTAAGAAAAAAAAAAAAAAAAAAAAAAAAAAAAAAAAAAAAAAAACCCTTTAATAAAACAATCTTCTCCTCAACTTTTTTCCAAGTATCTGTCAATCGCAGGAACATGCCTTGGAAGCGTGCGAAAAATTCTCGCCATGCGAGTATTACCCTATTCACAAATTTTGGTTGTTTGCGTAATTACATAATTCAACTTTAAATGAAACACACGGTTTGTATGTTACGCCCGAACAAAAAACCGTGACGTAAGCTAACAAAAGTGTTATCGCCGAGGGGGTAAGATGTAATTTTGTGTGCAGCGCATTCATTACAACATTTATGAAAGGGTTTCGCGTGTACATTATTCTCGTTATTTTTCACGTCATTTTTTTCGAAAACAAGTTAGGACCGTATGCAATGCAAGGCAGCAAGCAGCATTCCGATAAGCGTACGCAAGTATGCCATAAACCTTGATTCTATTATTATGAGGCTAGGAACATCATACCGAGTGTTCCTGCCCGTTTGTTTGTTTTTCAAAGAACAACGTGGCTAAGCTAAAAATCTAATTTATACTTGACGGAATACTCTAATCTAAATCTTTAGTATCTTGCCATTGTTGGAACAAAAAAGTTACTGAAACGTCGTCGTCGAACCATTTGACAAATACACCGCTGTCATGATATGATAGTGGCCCCAGGATTTGAGTCATGCGTACTCCATACTAATCGGTGCACCCAGTTTCATAACCAACCATCCTTTAAGTCATTGCGAACTTTGGCTCTACCGAACAAGCTATTTAACATGTTCTATTTTGACACGTTATTCCGTCTATGAATGCCACTTCGGGATATCGATCAAAAACCTGTTTACACTCGAACGTGCATGCCCATTGTATTATCTATTCATCTAATCCATGACCCAGTGATGGCGCACAGGCGTTACACGAAATTATTTGATTTTCCATAACCGAAACTAGCTTATGGTTTTTTGGTAAATATGCATAAATTAAAAATTCAATTATCAAATTATTAATTTGCATTTACATTTACAACATTCGTTCAAATATTAATCCATCGATTTAACGATTTCTTATGTGGACCTGACAGCGGTCAACAAAAGGCAATGCACCCTGTTGTTATCAATTTTTATCAGCATCAATTGCATGTTACAGTATACACAATATGAATTAATTAATCATTTAAATTTTTGATGAATTCAAATTCCTGGCATCAAATTTTTATTAAAATGATGCATACTTCTTTGAATCGGATGGATATCAAGTGAATTGTTGTTCTCTTGAAAAAATGAAAATTTCAAAAATCAATTAAAATACACGAATTTTTATTATTACTTTTTTTAATTAAATAATTTTACTTTTGTCATTTTTAATACTTCATATTTAAATAAAACTGATGATATAAACCTAATAATATATCCACTTGATAGTTTTTAAAGCCATAACTACTTACAGTATTTAAAAATTATAAAATACATATATGAGATATGATTATTTATTATTTATATTGTTATCAATTATAATTCTTCTAAAATTTTATTTTGAATTCAAGACTTGATACTTTAATTTAAAATCAAGTTTAACCAAATTTTATAGACTTTGTTTTTAAAATTTTGAAAAAGGTATAAAAAAATATATATATAGATATATAATAACTTACAAAAGTCTTGTATCAATAAAAATCCAAATATCAAATATAATTGTTCATAATAATCAATATTTAAAAATAATCAATGAAAATAAAAATTGAATTTTTTTTTTTGAGTAGTTAAAAAATATTTATTCAATATAATGCCATAGATATAATATTTATCAAAAAAAAAAAATTAATTTAACAAATTAAAAATATAAATAAATTGTTAATTTATTTTTATTGATATTTAAAAAAAGGTAATACATAGGATCAATACTATATAATTTGATATTAATATTATATAATTAACATAAATAAATTATTAAACTATATAATTTGATTTTTTATTTTTAACATTTATTAAAGTTTCAATTTTGTTAAAATTTATATATATATTGTATTTATAATTTAAAAGAATTATAATTGAATATTTACAAGAATTTTATTAATTTGTGATTTTATATTTAAATAAAATAAATTGATCAAATACTATATATTATAAATAGAAATTATATAAAATTTAACACTTTACAATTTAATATTTATATTATTTTCAAATCTAAAATAAAATTATTTTTTATTAAATTAATAGATTTGTATTATTAAATAAAGATCAATTGCTATTTAATTCTTTTCATTAATCCTCTAACTATATACAAAAAAGATATTTGCAAGAAGTTTTAATACTTCTATGCTAATAAAGTTTAATACTTTCTTTAAACCAACTTAAAGAGTTCTATCAGAACTCTCTCAATTTCTCTTTCACTTGTTTACAATCTCCTTTGAATAAACTGAACTTTTGTGGCCTACAAAGTTCAACTTCTACCTTTACTACCAACAGCAAAAAGTTCTTAAAGAGAAAAAAACTAACAGTGAAATACCTCTCACCTCTCAACTATGATTGAGATAACAGAGGTTATGTACTAGCTAAAGGACTCATTTTTCCATCTTTTGACTAGTATTGTAGCCTCTTAGAACTATCTTTTTCATAGCTTTTTGGGAAATTATGCCTACCCCAGTTTGATTCTAAAATTTTAGGTGATACAAATCTCACCAATTCTAATTGATTAGTATAAAATATGTTGAACAAAATTAATAAACAAGTTCCTATTAGTCACCTCACATATTTGAATGCATTTTCTCAGTTCCATAAGAACCTAGAATCTACCATAAATCATATGGTCTGATATAGATGGATATAAGATATGCTACCAATACATCATTGGATATAAAAAAGTATTTCATCCATAATTATATGTCCCTAAAGTATTTAATATATAAAATTTTGCAAATCACTTATATCTCTTTTTGAGAAACAAAATCTATAGCTTTTCACTTTAATAGAAACAAAAGTCAGGAAATACTATAAATTAATGATTTGGATAATAGAAAATAATTATGAATAGTTTTTTTATAGTTATTAATTTAAATATTTTAATATTTTCTAGTAAGGAACATTTGACTTTTCTTTCTGCCTTCTCCTTTAGGAATCCATCTTTATTCATCTGATTATGATAAAGGTCACAAGATACTCGATTGACCTTTTTTAAATTAGAGCTACCTATATTTTGATTGCATATCAGGTAGGTTCCAATTTCTATTACCCAGAAAGCCCAAATTGAAGAAAGTATAGAGCTATCAAGAACACTCAGTAGTAAAACTCATGCACAAAGCAATCCAGGAAGTTTTCTTTCTATTTTCAAAAAATTCAAGCTGGAAGACTGGAAGGCTAATGCTGCTATATCAATTGAAACTCGAGTCTGAAAATGTCAGCAGTAATATACGAGCCAGTCAGATAATCTGAAAG